AATGTATCAGGTAACACTGAAGGTTGAGGAGATAAAATACAGAAAAAGTCCTTTGTAGTTCAATGAGCCTACGGTATCAGGTCGGGAAATATTGGGCTGGAAAATATGAATAATACTAGTTACTCTCGCGCGGTTTCACACGCTCTTCTCAGCTCCTATTAGTTGTAACGTGATGTTTTATAGCCTATAGCCATCCTCGATAAATGCGCTATCCAACACGAAAAGAATTATTTAAATCAGACTTGTAGTTACGGAGATTAGCACGTTCAAACAAACAAACAAAAAATAAACTCTTCCGCTTTATATAATAGTATAAGAAAAGAATAATGTTATCACGACCAAAAACGTCGTGGTTTATAATACCAATTAACAGTCAACAACTTAATTAACAGAAAGTAACTTAATTAAATAACAATTAAATTGTAATCTGAATATCACGTGTCCTGTTTGTTACACAAAACACATATATAATGACAGGGTATTTCCCTCTTTGTTTTAATTCATTAGAACTAACAAGCACCAGTTAAAGACCGTCAAAGTATCTTTTCGGAACACAAAGAAAACTTTTTGTAAGTCTTTCCCAAGTATTCAGGCTTTTCTTAGTACGGAACAATACAAACATGGAGGATTGAACGGAATTCTAAATATTTCATTATCTATTCCAAAATCAGGATCCTCGGGGGCCATTATTACTGTCGTACCGGCTGATAGGTCGTCTCCCATTCAAACAATACTACATCTAGACAGAAAGGTGTGTATTAAGACACTGGTCACGTAAACCTCGTAGCGAGTGGCTCGCTCTGTACGATATTAGGGAAAGGGGCGCTTTTTTAACTTATTATTGCCCCCAAAAACCCATTTTGTCTTCGCCAGTAATAAAATAAGGCCCCTTTATGGACGAATTATGTGACGTTTATTAGACTGTTTGAGTTCAGTTAAAGCCTTGCATTCGTTTAACGTGATATGAGAAGGACTTTGTGCGGAAAGCAACAAAAAAGACGAGCACGGAATACTGCGTTTGAGGGAGGAATACAAAAAACACGCTATAACGCGGAAGAGGGAAATGGTCGCGTTTGCAATGACCGCACACTTATTTCCTTTCAGCAAAGCGAGACTTAGTAACACGCTTTGAATAAACGGAATAAAAAAGATATTATAGGGGAACAGCTTATGGTGTGAATGTACTGAATACGAGTATTTTGTAAAGAACGTAAAATACACAAAGAAGCGAATTATTGATAACGAAACAATATAAAAACGTAGCGAGATATTTCGTGTGAATCAAAACGTAACATTTTGAATATTATAATTCCATGCAAACAAGCTCTCGACATCCAAGTAAGAGAAAATACGCCATCAAAAAACATGGCGGAGTAGGTGCGTGAAGCGATCTCGTTACGTCTCCGGAAATTAATGTTTCCTACCGATAGCTTCGCGAAATATTCACATAAATTATCTGCTCAGGTACGTTACCGAGACTGAATATGATAAACGATTAGTGAACCAGTTTTTGTGACGCCTTAATATATGGAACGATGTGCACTTAAGTGGTACCCGAGGACCTAAATTGAAGGAGAAAACTTCAATAGAAAAGTAATTTATCTTGATTGATTAGTTTTTTGCGAGACTCATTTATTTTCATCTATAAGTCTAATGTCTTGTTGGTAATTGTTTTTGCTAGTTTCAGTTTGAGTTCAACACCTGATGCTTCAGACTTGGTATCTCAATGAAAATTATTGTTGTTCATTGTCTAGTACTTTCTAATCTACCTCTAAAATTGGCTTGTCAAAATAGCAGGAGTTACAAATAAATTTACCAAAGAAGAGTTATTGTATTTAACTCTGAGTTAGAAATATCACATCTTTGAATATTCTTAACTGTAAATATGTACAGGATCAATCCTTTGGGAACCAATGCAGTGTTATGTTGTATTCCCTTAATTAATAAATAGTCGGTAATTGCCGCCTCAACCCAACTCGACCGCTGCAAAAACTCCTGAGGGACAGTGGTGTAATCGCCACGTTTGACAAACTCATTGATGGTTGTGTCATATTTATTAATTAGCTTGCTGTTACCCTGATTTTTGTATGCAAACTTAAACTTAGGGATTTGGAGACAGCTAATATTTTGAAATGCATGTTTGAGATTATCTATTAAATGTACTTAGAAAAGCCAATAACAAGAGAATGTGAAACACATAAAATTGGACAAGACCTTTATAAAAGAAATAGACGAGCAGAATAAAGACGGAAATAAAATTACCAAACTTTTATAGCAACGTAAATCACCCAAAAGACGTGATAATCCGGTCGATTCATTACTTGAAAACCTCAATTGGTACAATGAATCATTGAAGATTGCAGGTCCCAAAAACCTTACTTAAGACGGGTTCTCAATAGGCGTACCTGTACAAACAGATAGGGTACAAAAAGAACCATAATCCGCTTTCAAAGAAAAGCTTTTAGACTTTATCGTTGGAAATTTACATGTCAATGTGGCTTTATGGACTTCAGTGACGTGAACCGAACCTCAATGGTGACGGTCTGATGTGACTCGCTGTAGTTAACGTGCGTTGCTACTTCATCCTCAAAATAGGGCTAAACTAAAAGGTATGTGATAAGCAACTTTAGAAAGGTAGTGCGATCATAATATACTTCCGACCTATTCAATAAATTTTGTAGAAGAACAATAATAAAAATATTCAATTTATTAATTTGTTAAAATTAGCAGATCAAGAGCTCAGTCATACTTTCATTACCCTCTGATGTTGTGTGACCAAAACGTACATTGTCTTAGTTCAGAGAAAACAGAACTAAAATCTACAATACCTAACAATTCGCTACTTTCATAAAACCATTATAATATACCGCCCACTTAATATACGAAAGCATTAAGATTATCCGAAATAAGGTAAGCGAAATCAATTTTGGTACATAAAATTTGAAGGCTAAAATATATAGTTTTCTATTAATGTCGCATAGTAACTACGATAGTATTTACAGTACAGGCTAATATTGTTACGTCACAAGACAATATTTTCTCTCATTCCACGCACCATTAACAATGTAATTAGACTGTGAGTATTTGGCTTGAGACTGCTGTAGCCAACTGGAACCGCACTGAAAGCACTAATACTCACTCGACGTAACAACAAAGACCTCTAACGATTCAAAGCGCAAACGGTATAACAGAGACTGGAACTACTCCGAAAATTAAACAATCACCAGCCGACACAAAGACATTCACAGAAAAAGAATATACAATTCTTCCTCTCCTCAAAACGAATTGATTTATTGATATATAAAATACGAAGACGGAATGACAGTAGACGAAATAAGAAATAATCATTGAAAAGCGAAGTTCTGAGGCCTTCGACAAAATAAGGCTCTTTACAGATATTACCGAAACGAAAAACGAAGAAAAAAATATCGCATCGACAAATAAGCGAGACGGTATAAAATGAATAATCGGGCATTACGAGAGCTTTCGTACATTTATTCGTCTGTTTATTCAGTTTGGCGCTGGGGCTGCCAAGTTGCCAATAAAAACATTTTCATAGCTCGCATTAAAACACTGGCGAAAGTGAACGCCCTCAAATAATCAATACAGAAACCCTCCATGGCGGGAGTCGCCGGGCGCAGGTACGCGCCGCCCGCACCCCGCCACCTCCCCGCCGACGCCCGCAGCCGCCCCGCCGGTTCCGCGGTCATAGAATAGACAGACAGACGACTGTGCAGTAGTTCGGACGTCAATATTTTATGGCTGGTGATGGCGTGGGCATTACCGCACAGGTGCTAAAACGGCAACTACGTTAATATGTTCCTCCTAGAATTGAGAATGTCGGCGTTCAACTGACAGTAAGTTACTTCAGATGTTACGTCCTCTATTCAGTTTTATATCACGTAACATGTGCTAAGACATACAGCTAACGGCTTGGGTTAGAGACTCCCCGAGGACGGATATATACCCTAAAACGCTTTTAAGATGAATATTTAATTAAAACCTACGTTCTTCTGAATACTGTAGACAACTAAGATCAATATAGATGTTATTGATTTTGTCGCATTCCCTTGGTACATTTGTTTCTGTAAGTTTAAGGAAGCTTCGATGTTTATATATCTCCTCAATGGATGCAACAGTTGACAACATAATTCACGAGGCGTGTAGTGCTCGCTGTTAACAGACATAACTATAGCTAGTAAAATATATTTGAATACATTCCCACACGAAGCCCAGCAAGGACGAGAAGGCAGTAAAACGAATAAAAGATTTGCGATATTCCATGTTTGACCTTAGTAGGGTAATAGTCATGATTTTATTACATAGAATTAAGTCCATGGAATTCGCCCCTTTCTAGCTTACTTCAGAAGAAAATGTCGGAGCCAATTACTTTCTTTTCTAATAAAATTCAGCAATTTTAAATCTTTGGTACGAAAAATAATGTAGGCTTAATTGAATTCATCGTCTGACGCAACGTTTATTCTATGAGAGCAGCATCCCGCCATCGTGCTGTCTAAACCGATTGATGCGAATGAATTTTGTCCATGAAACGAAATTTCGTTTCGTTTCCAATGCGCTTAAGAGCTTTGCCGAGGTGGGCGACCTTTTTATTTACTTTAAAAAACGTACTTCCAGGTACAACGCCCCTTTCAGAAAAATCCCATTGGGACTTGTAACGTTCAGACTGTTAACTTATTTCTTTTAAATGAATAATTTAATACTGATACTTAGGATACGAACAGCGGACAAATAAAAGTATTGGTAAAAAAGTTATAGATAACAACAATATCTGTTGTCAATCTTAAGACAACCGTCTGAACAATGTTCTATCTTGAAACCAAAACAAACACATCCATTCCCTACGCTCCGCGGCCTTGTAATTGTAGCGGAGTCCAATACAAGTAATTAGGGTACACCTTGAATCTCCCAGCCATAAATAAATCTCGTCAATAATATTTCACTAGGGCGGCTATTCGGGAACATCAGTGTTAGCCGTGCGCTTGAAGTGTATGGTTGTGTCAGTAAGTGCATGGGCGGTTTGCATCGTAATAAATCACGCGACCGTTCCCGTATGTATTGACATGTAATTAATTAATTTGTCTACGCATGCATATTTTTGTATGGCTTTATTTTAGTTAGTTACCTTTGATTTCGCTCTTTGTTCTTAGATATTGAACGGTAAAAGCAATCATTGTGGTTAGTGGTAGCATGCGCACCGCCACAAATTTTGTGGCGAGACAAGTAGCGAATTGTTGCGCGTTTCAGGGCCCATGAAGTGCCACAAACCGTTTGTGTTGTGGTTTTGTTATTCGAGTATCTAGCGTTTGGGTAATATAAAGTATGCATCAATATGTTCTGGAAGTTTATGCCTTTGGTACGCGTGGGCGGTTTGACGAATCCCCGGGTCGTAGAGCTCCCCATTCCATATCATAGCGACCTGTAGATACACACAGACAGGCGGCCGCTTCGATTTTCTCCCCCTCCTGTAGTTGAATGTATTTATATTGAATCTGTCTGCATCCATTTAATGTACGAACGATTTTAACTCTTCACAAACATTGAGTCGTTTGATTTAAAATAATTGTCGATTTGAAATTGTTGTTGTGTGGTACAAATGATGATGTTATAGCGATTTATGGAACGGGTGTTTGAATGTTATGTAGTGTCTAGTTTATGAATAGGTAGTCTATTATTACTTTGTGATACAAATAGTCAATGTAGTGTTGTTATAGTAATAACAACATTTAAGTACTAGACTTTTTAAGTTACTTGGCGTTATTTGGGTACATTTTTATAACATAAATATTATTTTGTTACAGGTAATAATGGCACAAAGATCAGATATCCACATAGCCAGATGGCTTGAAGAAGATCGAGAAGAAGATTTTGTGGATGCACCAGCTGGATCTGATGATGATGTGGATCACATTGAAGAACAAATAGATAGCACCAGCACTGAGTACAGCACTGAAGAAGAAGAAGATAACACAGATATAGACGATTATTGGGAAACTGTCTTCGACGTAATTGAGGGATCAAGCTCCCAATACTATTTAGCCCTCGACGGGACAAAATGGTTCAAAAAACCCCTGCAAACCAGAGTCTTGTTAAACAGTGACTCAAACGTTACACCAGGGCCTAATGATTTTGCAAGAACACGCAAATCTCAATTCGAATGCTTCGACTTATTCTTCGATGAAAGCACTATATACATGATTGCAAAGTTCACTAACGAACGAATTATAAAAGAACAGAAGAAGTTTGCAAGGGAAAGAGATGCAAAACTTACTGATGAAGTGGAAATAAATGCGCTGTTAGGTATATTTTTCCTAAGTGGGTGCTTAAAAACTAGCCGAGAGAACTTCTTGCAGTTATTCGATTCAAAAAGTGGTACTGGAATAGAAGCCATTTACCTTGCAATGAGTGCTCAACGATATCGATTCTTATTGAAGAATCTTCGATTTAACGATCCCGTAAATGACCGCTTAGAAGAAGATAAAATGGCGCCAATCAGGGTGCTATTTCAAATTGTAGTGAACAATTTTCAAAAACATTTCACACCCAGTCACGAACTAAATCTGGGTGACATAATTATTCCCTACAAAGGAAGATGTAGATTTCGCCATCATATGCCCAAGAGATCTGTTAAAGCTGGAATGAAGATGTTTGCTTTGGTAGATTGCCAATATCCGTACACATACAATTTGGAAATGTACGTGGGTGATAATCCTGGGCCTTATGAAGTTAGTAACAATAAGTTAGACATTGTTGTGAGAATGACTGATCCTATTCAAGGAGAATATCGTAATGTTACGATGAACAATTGGTTCACGACTTTAGAGACTGCTGAAAAATTATTTTGTAAGAAGATAACGATTATTGGAGCTATGAAGCCAAGTAAAAATGAAGTACCAAGAATCTTCAAAAAAATTAAAGACAAATCTTTAAAATCGTCGCTTTTTGGATATTGCGAGGTAGCCACGTTGGTCCAATATGTTTGCAAACGAGACAAAGCTGTTCTCTTATTGTCAACGAAGCATAGTGATTGCTCAATAGATATGAACTCTGGTGATCAACTGAAGCCAGAAATATTCGTAGATTACAATCGCACAAAGAAAGCTGTAGAAACAATGGATAAAATGTGTTCAAAGCACGATGTTTCTAGAAACTCACGAAGATGGCCTCTGAATATATTGTTTCGACTGCTGAACATAGCGGCTATAAACGCGTTATGCGTGTACACAATGAACAAAGGTCAGGAGCGTATAGTACGTCGTGAATTTCTAACCGAACTGGCTCTGAGCATGATAAAGCCGTTAATTCAAAGGAAAATGAATGCAGAGAAGATACCAAAGGTAATGAAACAAAAAATGAACGAGTTATTGAACGTTTCTATATCATCGGATGATCCAATGGATGTAGAATCGGAATCAGATCTCAACGATAAACCTGCAAAGGGTGCAAAGAAGGGGTCCCGTGGTAGGTGCCATGTTTGCCGACGAGCTCATTTGACCAAAACAACGCGCGATGTCTGCGTAACTTGCTCAAGATTTACTTGTTTAGAACACAGTAAATATGTGTGCACAAATTGTTTTGATAAATATTCCAAGTAAGTTTTATATTTTTTTACTTTAGTTAGGGGTGTCAATTGTTTAAAAATTGAAATGCATGTGATGATGTTGAGCCAGAGGAATTTTGGAATTTTATACATATTTGGATTGCCTAATATTGAAAAAAGTGTTGTTAACTGTATGAAATACTCGAGTTACTGTGCGCAAAGCGCTTTAGAGTATACTCTAAAGCGCTTTGCGCACATTTAAAACTATTGTATACTCAAACTAAATTAGGTTAGGTCTTCCGGAGAGAGATAATCTCCTCTGAGGTGAAAAATTTGTAAAATTACTCACTATTTCGTTAAAATTTTTTCGAGTAAACTCATGTTGGTATAACTATTATAGTGTAGGAAGCATTTCATGCGATTTGACAATTATAATCATTAGGAACGAAACAAGACTTTTATTTAAAACACAATGTATTTCTTAATATAAGATTCAACAAGTATTCAACTATGTAATGAAATACATATAGACAACGAAATGATTGAGTTTTATTTCCGAACCCCATACTAAAATACTGCTATGAAGATAATAATTGGCAGCATGCAAATCTGACCTTAAAGGTGAAGAGATAAGGTTAAATATGGTATGGTGGGGAAGTATCGAGGAGTCCTCAGCTGGTTTAATTAATCATCTATGTAAGCGGAAAATCGAGCTATTTGAGAACAAAATCGTCTAAAAAGTTTGATGGGTAACAAAGGTTTTGACGGCAACTGTCTATTTGTATTAGTCGCAGTTATTAGCACAATATACTTAGTGTCATTTGTTTTGTAAGTTTGTATGGAGATTGGGTTGATAAATTACTCTATTCTAACTTATCTTTTTGTTACATAACAGGTTATTGGTAGTATCTCTTTATCAGTTATGTTATGAGCTCCAAGTAATATCACAATATCATAAAACACCCACTTTCACCTGTATTACGCGCCTCATGTACTAGAGGGTAAGTGTATTAGTATACCTATGGCATACTATACACAAACGCCCCTTCCGAAAAATTTTAAACCTGGAGGTATTTTAACCATAGCTACGATTCTTTGAACAATCTTAAGTTACATTTTAAGCAAAACCAGGGCTTCACTTCATCTCAAGACTGACTATAAGGCCTACAATAAATTACATCACAAATACCTACTGAAATTTAATTAATTTGAGAAACCGCGAATACCTTTGTCCAATAATTCGGGCGAAGTCAATTAATTCATCAAATAACTTAACTATAACTTGAAACCACATTGTTTCTGAACCAATCGGCAACTAATCTAAGTTTGACAAAAGATAAACTTTAACTGAAACTCCGTACTAAGTGTTTGTTAAGTTATAGGGAGAACTGCGTCAATCCTTTTACTTTACTTAGCTGTAATCTAGAACACTATTGATGTTTGCAGTTATATGTAAATAACTATAACTAATATGAAAATGCCATTAAGCTATCCCTGTTATTTCATTTAAGACCTGTATGTATTACCTTAACTCGTTGAGTACCGTCATTATAGATACAATTACAGAACAATAGGTTGCGGTCACCGGTGACCGCTCGGTGTTTGACAGTTTAATATGCAAATAAAGACTTTGAGTTTGAGTTTGAACTATAACCTTTCATTGACGGCACGGTTGGTGCGGTGGCCAGGCAATCGACTGCCGCGTAACGTGTCACAGGTTCAATTCCCGCACGGAGCAACTCTTTGTGTGATCCACAAATTTATTTTCCGGGTCTTGGTGCCATAGTATGTATGTAAACTTGTATGTTTGTAAACGTACCTACGACATAGGAAAAAATTCTAGTGCGGGGCAAGGTTTAAAAAAAGGTATCTATTTAATTGAGTAAAAGATTTCAGAAATTTTGATTTTTGTTTATTACGTTGTATTACTCATTTGCGTATTGTTCGACGAGGACGTGATCTGTTTCTAGCTACGTTAGGGGACTATATTCCTAGTTTGTTACTGTTGCTATACTCCTACCATGAAGTCTAGTATGCATGTAGCACTTCCTATTACAATGGATACATGAAACATTTACAAAATATTTACATTTACTAGTATATCAGCTACTCCTTCGGAAATTACAGCCGTCATGTTACGCTTGTTATCTTGATTTTGGGTTCAGTTTAAATATTCGTTTTTAACTCAAAGATTTAGAACTACGATACGGTTGTCTAGTTGTTATGATCTGGTTGATTAATGTTTTTGGGCAATATAATAACTCTATCAGAGTTTAGAGGATGTTATGAAAACTTTATTCTGACTTCATTTTATTTATACTTTATGTAGATATAATAGTGAACGCAATGCCAGTTATTTATTTATTTAATAATTCAAGTACAAACAAACGCAATGGAGGACAACACACAAAATTCAAGTACAAACGTGCTACTTATTCCTGTTGGACTTTCTTCCAGTAAACCTGAGACAGGAATATATGAATATGAACATTTATTATTGTTTTATGGTGAACCAACAGCTACATTATACAAATCTAACAGAAAAAGTAGAAAAACCACTTAGAGATTCCCATGAATAGTGACTAAATAGGTAAGAACTAAGAGAAAAGTAAAATTATAAATATATCAATAACATGCATAGCACACAGCAAGAAAATTGTATTTAATAGACATCAATATAAAGGAGACATTTATTACTGGTAATGCAATCAAAGAGCATTTTCTAACAGATATACATCACAGTAGTTAATTACACTAGAGGTAAAGGAAAAAACTTAAATAGACAATAACAAATTCAAATTCAAATTCATTTATTTGCAAGAATACATATTTACAAAGGAAGATCTTACAGCCTCAAAGTCATTGTATTCTGCCTGCGAGCAAGCGTGCAAAGTATAAAAATTTCAAATTAAAGTCACCATAATAATTTTCATAATTACAATCCAATATTTACGTTGATATCATAGTCATAGACATATTACATTTTAGTCGTAGATACATTACAAAATAGCAACACCAAAAATAAATTCAATAAAAATAAATTCTAGCTTACACGAGAATTTAGTTTAATTAAACTTCCCAGGTAGAAGGATTTAGGACACAATTTAACCCAAGGTTAAAATAAAACACACATAAAGCGCTTTTACGTATTCATCTTTTTTATCTAAACATCTACAGACACCGTATTTTGGACGCACCGTTATTTTCACGTTATCAGGGCTCCTAACTAACCTTTATACGAAGCCCTTACTAAGTGCCCCATTCTAATTAAGATTAAAATAGACTAAATTACGGCGACATTTTTAAGCCCATGGTCATAAATTAATAAAGGTTTTGGTCATAAAATGGTTCCCGTGCACCGATTTTAAGCCTTAAAACGCCATTCATTAAAACTTATAATGGTTCGAGTGAGATATAATTCAATAAGCATCTCCCTGCAAGTTGGCCAATATTTTATAACTGTGAATAGAGATATGTGAACTGTGGAGTAGTTTCAACTACTGAGCATGCGAACTTGGGTTATTATTTCAATTAGCAAAGGAGTGCTTTTGTAGCTACGTTTTGTTGTATTTACGTCTTTTTTTTAAACTAGAATTTTCTCCCGTGTCGTGTGTGCGTTCACAAACATACGAGTTCACATACACATGACACCTAGACCCGGGACAACAATCTGGGGATCAAACAAAGAGTTGTTCCGTGCGGGAATCAAACCCGCTATACGTTGCGCGATAACCCAACCACCGCGCCAACCGTGCCGTCTGTTCTTAGTTTTATGTGGTTGCGACGTTTTAATAAATATTTTTATTTATTAATTGCCTTAAATTTGTACATTACTAAACACTAGCTCTTGCTAGCAGCTTCGCTTGCTTTTCCGTGGGATAAAAAGTAGCCTGTGTATTATTCCAGACCATAATCTATTCATGGCCTAAATTTCATCCCGATCCCTACAGCCGTTTTGACGTGAACGAGTAACAAACAAGCATTCAAACTATCACATTTAAAATCTTAGAAGAATTACCTACAAAATAAACAGAATAATAATTTTAATGTTCTCCAATTAAGAAAAATATACGAGTTCAAAAGTCTCAAGTCAAGGTAAGTACCAACACCCTTTCCTAACATTAAATCTAGTTACGGGTATAAAATTATCATGCTCCTACTTTGTACATTTAAAGGAATTATGTAGGTAAAATTGGCTTATATAATTATATTCTTAACTGAAGAACACGTCCTAAACATGAATTATTATGATATTAATTAAGCTTCATTTTGTAAGTTATTTTAAATAGCGCACAATTATAGCCATACGCACACATTAAAATAACGGCTTTTTTTCTTTTTTTCCGTTGCCCCACACTAGGATTACCTCCTGTGTCGTGCGTGCGTTTACAAACATACAAGTTCACATACACATGACACTTAGACCTGGAACAACAATTTGTGGATCATACAAAGTGTTGTTCCGTGCGGGAATCGAACCCGAGACACGTTGCAAGGTAGCCAGTTGCCCAGCCACCGCACCAACCGTACAGTCATCTTTAAGTTGTCAATAATAAACTATTCTCTGTTTTAAAATATACGATCCTAAATTACTTATTATGTTTTTGAGTCAAGCAACGCAACAGTCGACACATGGCGTGTTGCGAAATTCTGCTCATGAATATAAGCCTCCTAGCATGGCTTGAAACTAGTCGAGTTTCTCGTCAAACACTTTTTAATTGAAATAATAAACCTTATTGTTATTTAATCTCCATTTTTTTGTATTGTAATATAACCAAACAACCTTAACACTATTCCTAGTCTAATCTTGTACTCAAACGCGACGCTTAATACAAATAGCATGGAAAAATTCTCCGTCATATCATGAGCATCATCAAACGACGTTAAGGCTTGTTTTACGCTACGTGCATCCCGGAAACATTCCCATTTCTTCCCTTGCAAACAGGATAATAATGCAGGCTATTATAGCACTTATGGTATTCTTATAGCCGTATATGGCACGTTGACCATCAACGTTCAGTATTCAACGATCCATTTGGTCAAATGAGGCTGAGAAAGGAGGTTGTGATGTTAGGCCGTGATATGACGCTGTGATTGTCAATCATTTGGGTTTATTTGTCATGGTTGCTTCTAGTAATAGCGTTAAGCTTTTGTGATTTATTCATTTATTAAACTGTATATGAAGGTTTATAGTTTAAG